TAGAAAAGGAATTCAGCTCTTAATAATGAAGAGCATTTTGTAGAGCTTGAAATTCTACATCTTTTGATATAAAAAGAGTAGTTTTTGTAAAACCGAGTTCGGAGAAAATTGGCCACGAACAGTACGATTCTGTTAACCCAAGGTATTTTCTTAATATTTTGTGGTTTTTGAAGTAGAAACAATTAAGCTTAAAAAAATAAAGACACCACTACATACATCGAAAAATTCGGCATCGATTAGTAACAAGAAGAAATTTTTGAACTATAATTAACCGAACAAAAATTTTAGTTTAAAAGTGTCTCATTTTGCAGTTGAGCAAATGCTATTTTTGTGATATCGAATACCTTTAATGCTACACGAGAAGGACAAATACTTATTTCGCAAAGAACATATCAATAAAATCTACACAAAATTCTCTATCTTTTGACATCACAACGAAACTTTCTCATCCAGTCTAACTTGAGAAAACGGCCTATCAAAAGCCGGCAATTTCTTCTGGTCCACTCGTTATCTATGTCTCAATCCAAAAAAAGACAAATTCTCCCGTCATTTGACTATTTTTAACTCTACAAAAGTTGTTAATAAGAAAATATCCTAATTATCCAATCATATTAACGAGAGGAAGTCATTTCAGAAAAATAAAAATTTTATGTCACTCGACCCGAATGGGTCGAAAACGACCCAAATTGACTTGAAGGATGGTGTGCGTTCTCGAATCATTAGCAAATCCATTTGATCTTTCTTTCAAAGAGGTTAGTGTAGTAGCAGTACACATCAACAATTAGAATGTCTGAGTACTCAATCTACGTAAATAAGAAAAAGCAATAAACTCAGAAAACGGCCTTTTTCACATTTTCGAAAATTCACAATTTTTTGACTCAAATAAGTCGAGTAAAGAATGATTGAGGAGAAATTCTTTTTTTACGCATTTATAGCTCATTCAATTCTCTATACAAATATTCCACTATCTTCTCAATCAGACGTTTTTTTACTAAATTATGTAAATCGTACGAATGGGTCGAAAACGACCCAGCCGGGGGTAAAGGGTTAAGATTGGAAGTCGATAGACAGAGTCATCTACTTGGATTACGGGATTTATTGCCGCAGCCTTTACTGCCGTTGTAAATGTCTACTATTTTAGATAAGTTTTCATATAAATTACATAAAAAAAAAGTAGTTGTAAACAAACTATTGTTCAAATAATCATTTTTTTTAAAGATACATAATCGTTGAAATTTAAACGAAAAAAAAATCTTTGTTCTATTTCTCTAATTGTTCTCATTTTTTTCAATGCAGGGACATTGAGAAATTGAACGATTCATAGAATACAAAAAAAGTGATTATTTTACATTATCAAAATTTTTCCAATGATTTTTTTTTAACGCGGGAACATCGGACATTGAATGATTCATGAAAATTTTTTTAAAATGGTTATTTTTAGATTATCTAAATTGAAAAAAAGGAAGGAATGTGGGGGATGCTTAAATTCGATCGGTGTTTGTATTGTAAAATAGCTCGTGAATTTGAATTGAATATAGCCATCTGACGAGATACGAGTGCTGTATCTGGAACCGACTTAAATCAACATAGATCCAATTCAGAAATGATTAAAATGAGACGACCTATTTTAATTCCCAATTAAAGATAAGTTGGGGTAGACCAAAATTTTCTCCACTTTTGAGCAGTATAGAATCTACATTTACAAATGAAATGAGACGAGAAAGAAAGATAAACATGTACATAATTAATTTGCCATCTTAAAATGAACTCATCGAAAATATGTTATTTAGATGACAATTAACTGAAATTTTATGAATTCATTAAAAATATCTTCTAAAACGATAGTAAATTATTATTAACTATCTTCTAAGAAAATATTTTTGATGAATGTTCATTTCGACATGTGTTTATCAAATAAAAATCGTAATCGACATTATATGTCATTACCTTCATATAGTATGTACTCTATTGATTTCAAATTTAAATAATCTGAAGAAACTACTGATCTAATATGGACATGTTTAATTTATTTATATATGTCAATATTCAATGTCAAATAAGTGAAGAATATGTGTAATAACTTGAATTAGTCTGTAGATCAATGTTGAGTTTCGAATTCATATCGATGAACTCCGATGGAGTAATGGCATTTCAATAAATACAATTATCAATTGATCAAGTAAGTGTGAATCTGCAAAGTCATGAAAAATTTTAAACTACAAAGACTGTTTCAATGGAAAACTGTTCATCAGTATTCAAATCTTGACTTAGTTCATCCTTTGAGGATTGTATGACCTAAGATGTTATTGTTTCATTAGAGCTCATCATCAATAAGAGTTCCAAATTCGGCGTCGATCTAAAGATTAATTTAATTGTTTGGTTACCAACAAAAGATACACATACATAAAATAGAGTGGCTTTACATCACGTACATTGTCATTTATTAATGCATGAGCCTAAAACAAGCCGTAACAAAATGATAATGTGGGAAGTTATGATAAAACTTATGACGCATATGTGTCAACGGTTACTCAAGGGTTAAGTTTTAATTCATACACTCTACTCGATCCGACATTGAATGTGTTCAATATCGGATTTGAGATTAAACGTAATCTTACGAGAGAACGTTTTCAGGTGTCTCCCTTTGATTTCAACAATTTTTTGCCTATAGATACTGTTCAATGTTCTAGTAAAAATTCTTAAAGGATTTGGATTCCTATCATTTTCTTCAAAAGTTAAGAACGTTTTAATTTTGCTTCCATGTTGTATAACATATAGCGTGAGCCATAAATAGTAGCACTACGATAAAAAAATGAAAAATTTCCTCATTAGTTCAATCAAATGGACTGATTTTTTAGTTATTGTTGGAAGTTTATTCAAAGCTTTTTTTCATACGGATAAGGTACCCAAATACTACTATTAAGTATTATTGTTAGTATCATGAAAGTCATTTTACTTGTTATCAAGTAAAACAAAAGCACATGTTTAGTGTTTCATAGATAATATTGAGTTGTCATCTAAAAGAATAATAAGAACAAATTACAATGAACTTTATCAATGATTCTATATTGATGTACGTAAAGTAAAGTTTCAAAACTAGTTAGCTTAAAAGTTAACGGTTACAAAATTTCGAATTTTCAAACAAAGAATACTGGTTTTTGCAAGAAACTTGGTGTTTTGATACACAAAGGGCTGCAATTGTATATTTCATTTATAGAGTACGAATTTCAAGATTAAAACTGACTAGTTTTAAAAAATTGGCTCTACAAACATCAATATAGAATCATTAATAAAGTTCATTGTAACTTGTTCTTATTATTCTCTTAGATGACAACTCAATATTATCTATGAAACGTTAAACAGGTATTTTTTTACTTGATCTTTGAATAAACTCCTAACAATAACCAAAAAATCAGCCTATTTCATTGAACTGATTGAGGAAATTTTTCATTTTTTTATCGTAGCGCCGCTATTTATGGCTCACACTATATGTTATATACTATAGAAGTAAAATTAAAACATTCTTAACTTTTGAAGAAAGTGATAGGAACCAAAATCCTTTAAGGATTTTTACTAGAGCATTGAACAGTATCTATAGACAAAATATCATTTAAATCATTGGGAAGGTACCTGAAAATTTCTCGCGTTAGTTTATATGGTAACATGTATTCAATTCAGTGCTAAGATAATCAATGTATACAAAAAAAAAGGAATTCGAAACTACAATTTGATATTTAATTGAAAAGTTTTTTAAAGAGGATAACAATGCAAAAGAATTCTTATTTTTATGATTAAGAACTAAAGCAAAAAAAAAAGAGTCTTATAAAATTTCTCATATACTTTTCGATAGAAATTCATGAAAATTTTAAGATCCTTATTATTCAAATACAGTAGTCGCAAGAAGTTCTACTAATGGATAAAAAGTACATAAACTTCAATTCTTTGTCTGATATTTTGACTAGAAATACAGCTCGATATACTTTGATCACAAGCAATAACACGAGATTGATAGGTCTTAATGCAAAGAATTTATGATGAAAACATTGATCTTTTTCCTAGGGCTCAAAACAGTCTTTTCGGTACTTTTCTGGTTTTCCATTATTAAAATGCGTTGATCTCCATTTTCTTTTTTAACGCACGAAGATTCGCATCTCTATATTGTATCACAGATAGGATACTACAATCCACTGTAATCTTGAGGCGCAGGGAAGCATCTATTTTCTAGAATGTTCTCAACATGAATCTCTTCTTCATCAACGACTAC